GATGACCAAGGATTGGACGAGTAGCTGAGTAGCGTCTATCGTGAGAAAGGGACGAATCCTTCTAATGTTGTAGAGAAGGTATCTGCAGGACCTGGACAGGTTGTTAATGTGCGACAAGAATGTCAATTCGTCATCCAGAATGACACAGAGACTTCTCACTGTTTTTGAGGGGACAATAAGAGAGTTTTCAAAGGAAATGGTAAGGTCAAGAGTCAGTGATGAATTGCCTTTCATGTACAGCAGTTCAGTCTTACTGGGGTTTAGCTTGAGGTGGTGGGATGTCATTCAAGAGGAGATATCAGTCAGGCAGTCTGAGAGTCGAGTTGAGACCTGATGGTCATCGGGTGGAAAGGAAAGAGAGAGTTGAGTGTCATCTGCATAACAGTGGTAGGAGAGCCCATGTGCAGATATGACCTTCCCAAGAGAACCCGTGTATAAGGAGAAGAGAAGGGGTCCTAGGACTGAGCCCTGAGGAACACCAGTGGCCAGCCTTCTTGGGGCTGATTGAGAGCCTTGTCATGCCACCTGAAATGACCCGTTATCAAGGTAAGATGCAAACCATTGCCAGACTGTACCTGAAATCCCAAGGCTGGAGAGAGTATCCAGGAGGATCTGGTAGTTGACCCTGTCAAACGCTGCAGACAGGTCCAAGATTACAATTCCCAAGGTGGCAACGTGTGGCTCAGTGGGCTAAGCCTGTGTGCCTGTAATCTGAAGGTTACCGGTTCAGACCCAGCCTCAGCACGTCTGCGGGTCCTTCCGCAAGACCCTTAACCCCCAGCTCCCTGGGCGCTGCTACGGGCAGCTGCCCTTCACGGACAACTTACTCTTCAAAATACAGCATGTTGAGGGAGGCATAAAGACAATTTCCCCACGGGGATCAATAAAGTATCGATTATTATTAAGGTTAGACTATATATATTTAATTAGATTGACCTTATTGACCCCAGGGGGGAACTTCTGTGTATACAACAGCAAGGAACATAGAACACAGACAAGCATACATTCAGTGCAAAAGAGAAAAAGTGCAAAGACAGTAAACATAGTGCAAACAAATTAAAAAGTACAAATATAAGTCTGAAACTGAATTTTATGGAATGTTGAGTATATAAATACATGTTAAGAAAAAGTAAAATGACAATAAAAATTGATTAGCTAATGTCCAATTAAACTGGTACAGACTTTTACTGTGACAAAGACGGGATGCTGTCCTGACAGGTTATGGCTGAGGGGTGGAGGTGGCATTTCAGGAGGAGCTGTTGTAGTGCCTGATTGCAGTAGGTCTGAAGGAATCCCACACAAGCTAAGGTAGAATTAGCTGGGGGCTAAAGGTGCTCTGAGATAATGCCCCCTGGAGTGGATAAGTGGAATTGTTCATAATGCCGCCCAATTTTGACAAACATCCTCTTCTGTAATACCGCCTCCAGTAGAAGTACAGTAGAAAATAACAGTGCCAAATATATCCATGCAGTACAGGATTCCAGTGGGCCTATTGGTGGGGTTCCACCCAACTTGAAAATCAACATGAAGGCCCAGCATGGAAGTTCCTAAAATATCCCAGCAATTTACATTGACAGGGTCAGCCAGCCCTAGAGTCCTTCTCACATGCAGAGCTCAATGAGAGGCATAGGAACCTTCATACAGCAGAGATATTGAATTGGTGTTTGCATTCCTTAATGTCTGTGATGTCATCTGTCTTTTTGAAACAAAATGCAGCTCTCTGGTCCCATTTTTGGGCTGTCAACAAGGGTCTGTACTATACCAGCTGAGGTGTCCTCAACAGAACTTAGTGGAGTGTGGGTGACAGACAGACAGACACAGACAGAATACCCACTGATTCTCCTCAGGAGAAGACTGAAGTGTCAATCAGAGATGGCCATGCCCAGAACATCTCCAGTGTTACCATAATTTATCGGAATGATAGGGTTGTGACCAGTGTTGCCTGGAGACACATGGATTTGGAATTGTAAGTGGCCACATGCTTCATAATCTGTTAGTTATTGCTGGTAAGATACCTGTGCCTCAAATTACACCCAAGGGGATCTACAGTGTTTAGCATGCCATTGGATGATAAAGGAAAGGACTTCTGATTTGTCGCTAAACAGGGACTCAAAGCACCACTAAAGAATTAAAATGCTGAATTTCTTGTATAGACAAATAAAACACTTATTTATGCAGAACATGGTCCAAAGTCATGTTTTGCTCGCTGTGAAAAAATGAGATCTGGAAATTACTGGTACAGAAGGTGAAAGCATCAGTGTACAGTGTTGCTATGGAAACCTTCACGGTCAGAAGAAATGGTGCAATATCTGGGACTCCTGGGAGTTTGGATGTCAGGTTAGTTGTGATCAGTGATGACAGAAACAATAACGTGTTCAAAGTGACAGTGAGGGGATTTGCCTTCGTAGGACACAGGCTGGTACTGGGGGGAGGTTTCAGACTTGCAGATCCCAATTCAGATTACTGTTAGTCAGCTGACACCAACAGCAAACAATGACACTGTTAGCACAGGTAGAGAGTTCATTAAAGTATAGTATCACGTAAACAGCTGTAGATGCTTTCACATGTTGTTTCATACAATAAGAAAAAGGTTATTCAAATATGTAGCCCAGCAAATCAACCTATTCTCCTGCATTAATCAATGGAATATGTTTTTTCCCTCTTGAGAAATGTTGGCATTGTAATCCTTCTACATAATTCCGTGTTCCTGTTAGCATTTCTGTCACTACAGGAGATATCAAAAACAAGTGATTACCATGTTTTTCATAAATTATTCATTCACACCCAACATGGTCTGTCAGATAGAGCTGAACAAGTTGGCTGCCATTTTGCTCACAAATATGGAAATGGGCAATATCACTCTGAAGAACTGTTGTGTTGTTTCTGGATTTAGCTTATTATTTACACAATTAGATAATTTATATAATTAGATATTATTGCAAACTCCTTTAGACTGACAAAATGTAAAACACAGTTGTTTAATTGTAATGTTAATAATTCATTTTTAGCATTGTTTTCTCTTGGTATGATAGTATACTGCAGACAGTGAATTGTAATGTTAATAATTCATTTTTAGCATTGTTTTCTCTTGCTCTGAGAGTTATTATACTGCAGACAGTGATCAAATTGATAGAGGCACTTTTTATTTATTTATTTTCCATATTTTGTAAAATGTTTATTTCCAGTGCAATGAACGTTCTCAAATTCATTTAACTCTATTTATGTGACAGTTTATTTTAATAAAATTACCAACACTGCATTCACCATATAAAAATGCACATGGCATTATCTTCTAACCTATTCATCTACAGGAATTCTAAATATGACCACAGTATGATCCATACAGGGGTAAAATCACTAGCTTCAGATGTGGTCCTTCCTAATCTTTACCCAGATGACATTTAAGGAACATCTGACAGGTTTGTACAATCAGAGCCCAAACTCTGAAGCAAAGGATAGGAGATCCAGTCGAAGAGAAGAAAATGGAGCATAACAAACCACGTAATTCATCTGGAAACTTCACCAGTTCAGTAATTCTGCTCAATTATCTAACTTGTGTACTTCATTACAGAAAATAAATGTATGAAATGTAAGATGGAAACAGATGAGGTTGTGTTGTGCATTTATTAAATTTGCCTTCGTATTTCAGCAATTGTACGTGTTTACATCGCAATATTTATTTTGTGCCTGGTTCCCTGGGGTAACTGGAGTTGAATTGGTTGAGTCAGAATGATTGTAAAATATGTGCGGCACAGCCTCCAATGTTCTCGAATCACCGGAGCACATGCCACAACAATGGACTGTGGGAGGGAACCGGTGCAAACACAGCAGCAAAAACACACATGCATGGGCCCGCATGGTAACAGAATCCACATCCTCAGGCACATGCGGGTGAAATGCCAGCACTGAGTCACTACTGCTACTCGTATCTTTATTTGAGTGTCAGGAGTGTCGATAAGCAGTAGCTGGGTCTGAGCTTGAATGGCTATGTGGGCATAGCACAAACCAGGGAGGAAGGCACTCAGGAGTCATTTCACCCCGACTGCAAGCAGCGCTCACCAGTCGATGTTCTTTGTCTATAAAAACATCTACATTCATAAGCCATCCAAACCAGCGATTCCTCAGTTCCTGTTAGTGTCCTGTGATGAGCGGCACTATAAGGGAGATCAGTGCTCACAGCTGCACTTCTGCCTTTGCACGTGTATGACGAGTAGGATGGCTGAGCTCGTCCCTGAGATGATTCCAGTTCATGTGTCCCATCTTTATCAGAAAAGAGAATAGAGGTTTCCATAGTAAGAGGGCCAGCAGATAGCCCAGCTTCAACGAGACACCACTTAAACAGCTACTTTCCAAAGGCAGTAATGCTGACCGATCAGACCTGAGTTCATTACCATAATATCTGCACGAATCTGGACCTCGGCCCACATACTCTCTGCATATTCTTGGGCTCCTTGCATATTTTGCTGCTGCTATATCCTTCTCCACATAACCATGCAAATCTATACCGAATGTATAATTTTTATATATTAATTTGTATTTATTTGGGAACTTGGTTTTAGGCAGTAGTTAAACTTGCACATCTAGTTGCACATTTTACAAATAATGATTTAGTGGCTCTAAACTGTACTGTTGCTCATACCTTTAAATCTATTTTAAGTTATTTCTGTTTATTATTTTATTATGTATGTTCTATGTAGTTTGAATTAATGTACCAGTGCTGCCAAGACAAATTCCTGGCAAATGCAGGCGTACCTGGCCAATAAAGTGAATTCTGAATCTGATGACCTCATTTGTTATTGTTCTTACAGTTCCTGCTTTATTCCTAACAGACAGAACTTGGAGCATTGTAACCCTGAGTTTTGCATGCATTGACTTAATTCATAAAACAAATTCATAGAATATTTTCTATGCATATTTTAGATTTGCAATGAGGACATTTTACTAGATAAAACATCCAATAGTTTAATTTGCTTTCAACACCTTAAACAATAAAGACAATATTACATAACTGTTTTAATCTTTTATGCATTACTTACATTTTATTACCTTTCCACAATTTATGCAAGTACATATAATTTTAATGCATCCGTATAACAATTAACTTTTTTTTGTATTAATGCTGGACGTTGTAGTGTCAGTGATACACATTTAGTTACCCAGAAGTGAAAACACAAAAAAATGTACAACATTAAAAGAGAAGCGACAGAAAAACAAAGCGTTTGTTCCTTGCGGCCAAGTTTTTTTTTTCAGGAGTCATGAGGCAAGAAATTAGTTTCATAGTAATTTATATTCCTTAATGGGCCCGAATAAATTGGCAGAACTTGGGAAGCCCATTACTAGGAATCTCTGTTAGTTACTGAAGTTTAGCAATCACAATCAAGTTTTTGTTAGATAAACGAATACATAATACATTTTGTTATAACAGTATAATTAATGAAGTTAATGCAGACCAACACTGTCCCGTAGCTTTTCTTTCTTTCTTTTTTTTTTAAATATGTGACGTTTATTTCTTTTTTATGAATTCCTGGTTTGCACCTCTGGGAAACGGCATATAGATGAATAGCAACTGTACAACTGAACAACAAATGCAAACTTTTATCCATTTTCACTTGACTAAAAGACAGGACTACAAGGGCACCCGACCATAGACGTGCATTTTATTTTTCGCAAGAGGGAAAGAGAGATAGAGAGAGAAACCCAACAAGCAAGGTAAACACATTTACAGACATAGGAACGTTTAGAGGGGGGTAGCATGAAAGGGCTTCGATCTGTGGTTTTTAACCATGGTCCCTGCGGCCTGCAGCGGGTGCATATTTAACAATGTACCCAGCTGCTTCAGTGCTTCATTAAACCAAGCGTTGCTCCTATTGAGCCCCTCTCTCAGGCAGTACTGAGGTTGTTAGCGGTTTGAAGAGAGCTGGGAAATCCTGCTGTGCCCCATCAAGACTGAGAACCAATGGTTTGGACCAATGGATTAAAACAGAGAAGCCATATTGTAAATAATAATCATAATAATAATAATAATAATAATAAAAAATACAAATAAAAATGATTGGAAGAATGGCACTGATGAGTTAAAAACACTTCAGCTCTGCTCCTGTTTGAGAAAATCGGTGGACAGCAGATGACCAAACAAACCATTACCCATGTAGTATGTACATGTGTAAAGCAACAGCCGGAGCAGTAACAAGAGAACGGAACAAGCTACCACATGTAGCGCAGAGCGAGAGCACAGTTCCACTGTGTCAGCACCAAATCAACAGGTAGATTAGAAAACACAGCACCCTGGAGAAGAAAGGCATAGGAACAGGTTTGGGGAAGGATAAAAAAAAAAAAGCGAGGATTCCTCCCTTTCTGTATCTTTTTACTGAAAGAAACAGCAATGGTATAAGCATCGCAGGACAAGCATTGTAAGCTAGCTACATCCTGATTGGTTTGGAAAGGAGACTGGGGTACAGGGGACTGGGGTAGGGGAGACCGCGGTGAGGGCAGGGGGGTGGGGTGGGGTGGGGGGAACGGTAGGACCGATACTTGTATCAAAGTTCCAGCAAAAAAATACAAATGACTATAATATGGGTTGGCTATTTTCTTATATTTTCCCCAATTACTTTGTTTGGAAAGTCATTGTGCATTAATCTTTAACTGCTACGGTTTGATCCTTGAGGGCGGCGGATGCTTCTGTGCTGTTGGCCTCCAGGGCTGCACTCTCGGGGGCCGCTGTTGAATTCGGCACTGCCTCTTTCACTGGAGCTTCCTTCGGAGAAGTAGCGGCCACGGTCGGTGCTGCCGGTTCTGTGGCCTTGGCATCCGGGGCAGTGGGGGCAGCCTCGGTTTTGGCTTCCGGTGCCGCGGGGCTCTCCGCTTTTCCACTGGCTGGTTCCGCCTTGGACTCCGAGAGTGTGACGGCTTGGGGCTTCACCTCAGGCTCCTTAGTGGGAGGGTCAGGGCTGGTGGCAGCAGCAGGTGGTGCCTTGTCTTCCTGCTTGCCGGTAGCTGGTTTGTCCTCCTGCTTAGAGACGGGCTCTTTGCTAGTGGTTACCTCAGCCTTGGGCTCACCGTTGACCGTGGGCTTGGCCTGGTCTTCCTTGTCTGCAGCATCCTTGTTCCCCTCCTTATTTCCTGTCTGGTTAGCCACTGGCTGGGCCTCCTTCTGCGCCTTGTCATTGGCCACGTCGGTGGTGGCCGCCTCTGGGGCCTCGCCTTTGTTCTCTTCCTGGGCTGCTCCCTCCTCCGCAGAAGACCCTTCCACCTTCTTGTCCTTGGCCTTGTCGTCACTCACATTGGAAGCCTTCTTTTTTTTGCTTAGCTTGCCACCCATTTTCTGTTAGGAAGAAAAAAATGAACAGCACATATAAATAAAGGAGTTAGACAATCAGTGAAAATCATATTATAGTTATCTACAGTATTACTACTATTAGAACTGCTACTACTACAGTAGCTCCTACTCGTATTGCTACTACTGTAAATAATTCCATTGGCACTGCTATTGGGTGGTTAACTTTCAATTATATATATATATTTTATGAATGTGATGCCATAATAGAACAAAGAGGATCATTTGACAAAAATAAATAAAGATGTATTTGCAGGACTGTAACACCCACACCTATCCCCGTCTCGTGGTATAGTGCCTTGGGGCAGGAAAGCTCGCACAGGTTAACCTGAAAGCTAAGTGATCCGATCAGGGTCACCCAAGGCTTGAGTTGCTAGCCATCCTGCATTTTATGGGATTGTCCCTCAATGAAAAATAAAATGCTATGTCCTGTTTCAAACCAATTTTGCTAGAGATTTGTTGTATGCAGATCAACTTACAATTTAATCCGAAACATTAAAAAAAAAAAATCTTACTGTTTTTTCATCTGAGACCCCTGTGGCGGGGGGGGGGGGGGTCGGTTGTCTTATTTCTTGAGATTGAAAATGGCAACCATACCCAAGGCACACAGCTCTTAGCTAAGGGGCTAACTAGCTATGTTAGGCTGTACCCACTGGATGATCACAGTGGTGAAAGCGGCAATGACAGTATCTCAGCGTGCAGAGGAGGAGACAATAACACACTAAAATAAATAACAATATATGCTGGAGAAGAAAACCCAGCGCTGCAAGGAAAGGATCGATACTGCTTCTCCAGTACATATTTGTAATATTGCAACAACGAAAATTAATTCTAAATGTATTAAAATGACGGTGTTGTTGCCTAAAGGAACATAAAATATCTGTGTACACTTTAAATTAAATGAGTAGCCTCCCCAAATGCCACTATCCTCCAGAATCAAGTAGCAAGCCTGTCAGAGTAAATCCCCAAGACTATCACTGGACCTCCAAAAACAGAACAATTTCAGGATCATAATGGGATTATAATGTATAGAAAAACAAGTCATTATTACCAGTACAATGGCAATATCAATTCCCTTCCACTACACAACAGACAATTTTCTCAGTACAAAGTTGGTTTACCTGCTGTCAAATTAATAGTTATTTATAGTTACGAACATCTTCCAAATTTAACAGTGAAGCAAAATATAATCCCTGTAACTGATAATAGCAATACAAGCAATTTACTCTCACCAGCATCTGCTGATATTAAGAACAAAGCTATTGCTGCAGATGCAGTTTTCTCTGATGAGATGTGTTGGTGTTTTAGTGGAATAATGGAAAGGAAAAAGAGAAAGAGAGAAAAAAGAGAGAAGAGATCAGAAAAACAGGAACAAGTACGTGAAAAGTACAGACATGGGCATGACGTGGGAAAAAGACCAAAAACGATGGAGAATGACAGAGATTACATAAGACAGAAGTCTGCGCTGATATATTTTCAGCCTAATTCTTGAACAGACGTTTGCACTGAGCTGTTCTCCAGCATAGAGCCAAAAAAGCTTGGATGGAGAAACACAAAAGGAGTTGCAGCGAGACAATTTTTGATTTTTCCGAGGAGACAGGGCCAATGGCAAATCGAAGAGAGTCAAAATTAACAGACCCTTCAAGATGCAAGACACGGGGTGCTTCAGCTGAGGAAGATCAATTGTTGCCACACTGCTGAACAGCAGAACAATGCGATAACGGTGCATTCCGGAATTACAGTCACCCTAAACTACAGTAATATGAGCTAGAAGTGATGGAAAATTAACTTTATTTTTCTTAAATTAGTTATTATGTTGTGCATGTAATTGTGACACCTTTTATTACATTAAAGATGTGATTGCTCTTAAAAAATATGTATATGTATATAAACATAAATGTGAATATCCAACCGTGAGATTCAACTATAACTCAAGCTCCTGAGAGGCAGACTATGAAGTAAAATGTCCTGGTATTTGATCCGCCAATGATGCCATGCATCGTAAGAAGGTTCCCCAGGCTTTTGGAAGAAAAACAGCCCCATAATATTGCAAATCCACCTCCGTCCTTCACAGTAGGGATTAGGGCCTTTTATGTATGATCATTCCTCTTTCAGAGGCAGATCCATCCTTGGTATTTGAGTCATCTGACCGTAGATCATGCTTCAATCAAAATTCCAGTGACATTTCTTTCGTTTCTTGGGATGACTCCACGGGCTTTCTGACAAGCCTTTCAAATGGCTTGTTGGTATAAAGATGGTGTATAACTCTCATTTTGGAGACTTGAGGCCCCCAGGTTGTAACCGCCTGCAGTTCTCCAGAACATTCTCCCTCTTGAATCATCCTCTTGACTGCAATCGGAGCCAAAGTACACTTGCATCATCTTCCGTGCAGGTTCACAACAGCACCAATTGTTTTACATTCCTTAATTATACTGGAGATTGGTGTTTTCAAGCATGAAGCTATTTTTATAGTAATTTCATTAAATTAGTGTATTCCCTGATTTTCCCCGCGTTGATGGATGACTAAGGGAGTTTGGCATGGACGTCATCTAATACTTATACCCCTTAAGACTGAAGTGTGCTTAGAAAGAAAACCTTATACAATAAAATACTTCTTATATTTTGTTTATAACAATTCCCCGGGGTACTAACATTTGTGACTTCTGTGTTTTTTAGAGTTAAAAAATACAGTAACTAAGAAGTTTTCTTTAAATAATTATAACTCAATCTCAAGCTAGATTTCCCTCATATTTTGACTTTAAGATACAGCTGGTAAACAACAAGACCATTTCTCATCACCCATTTAGTTCATATTTAATAAATGTGAAAACTTCTGGGGAGCACTATGTTAAGCAATGCTGGGAAGGATTTGAGGAAGGTGAAAGAACAGGGATGATATTTAAGTATGACAGTGGGGAGGGCTTTAACAAACACAAGTACACAGAGAAACCAAATAAAATACAATCAGTTTGGCTTCAGAACTGGCGTGATAAAATGGGTATGGAAAGAAAGCTGATTAGGCATCAGGGTCTGTGTGGTGTTGGTGAGATGTTTCAGGGTACTTATGCGGGTAATAAGTGTGTATTTGCTTAGAACAAAAAAATCACAATTAATATTAGAATATACTGTATGGGAGCTGACAGTAACACAATAAAAAATAAAAACATTCTTTGGTTCTCCAAAAAGTTACTGATATCCAGTTGGATGGCTAGATGATCACCTCTTCAGTTCACAAATCTCTCCTCAGGGGCACTCCATCCATTCCATGTATTTGTTAAGTTTCACCAACAGCTCAGTTATATAATTAATTAATGAGTTAAATAACTAAATGTGGTATTGACTAGTCAAACCTTTGGTATTGGGCTGCTGCAAATACTGGAGTGACTTTAGGAGAGGTTTTGAAATAGCTAAGCTGACACACTTTGACAGACATAATATCACAGTTTTACACAAACATGCAGATCATTTAAAGATCATTTCTTTGATAGTACTGTAAGTCTTAAATGAAAATAAGTTAATTTCCTAATTTCCTGCTCCCATCTTACGTGCTGGTAGGAAAAAACAAATAACTGCATTCAGAGAAAATGTCTGGATAGCAAATGATACTGTGGGCCAGATGTGTTTCCAAGTCATTACCGATATGGAAATCTAGGTATTCTTCCCTCCCATATCCATAGGGAGGGAACTGAAAACAAGAATAGCACTTTTAGACTTCTAGAACATCTAATCTCTGTCATGCTATCAACTGAGCTAATGTACCCAGATCTGGTGACATGGCATAGATACAATAGCAGGTTGGAGCTATCTTTAGGGTGCATGAAGAGATCAACAACTTTCATTCCTTCCCGTAAAAGCTTTTCTGTCTTTTATCACACATCCCCTTGGAACCAGAAAAACTGGCACAGTTGAAGTCTTAGCCATTATATTTCTGAATACTGGCAGAATTCGGGGAATCAAGCAGCTTTCGTCAAATGAAAACACGATGAGAGCTGATTGGTGGTTGTCATGCACACAACTGCTGGTGCAGTTAACTCAAGTAAGAGACAGTAAAAAATGTATCTGGTATAGCAAGCTTGGTGCGAGACTGACATTCATATGAGAGAGACATTGAATAAACTAGTAGGAATGTGTGCGTTGAACTTTGTCGTAAGGAAGGGCAATTTGTACAAATGCATAGGAATCTTGCTCTACTTTTGAGACACAAACAGGCGAGGAGTAAAGCTTGGAGTCAGAGCTCAGGTTCAGCCGTTTATCTCACATCTATCCCTGGAGCAGTTTTCAAAGGGGGATGGTTAGAGGTCATGCTTATAGGCTCAGCGGCAATGCAACTACTAGCCGAGCCTGGGATTCACGCTGGCAACCGTCCAACCACAGAGCCCTAATCCACTGAGCCACTCAACATCCTCCCAAGAGTTGTGGGTTATTAGCTGACTCTTTCAGGGTGAGCTTGATTACCACCTTTGAATATAAAAAGAACAATAACTGGCAGGAGATGAGAGCAAGTAGCAGAATTTGCGAGCGCCGCCCCCCCCCAAGGACCTGCCTCGGGTGTTAGCAGGTGTGTTTCTCGCTCAGTTCTAGTTGTAGCTGTTTGTGAGGAAACGAGCCGCCTGATGGCAGCAGAAAGTGCTGACGAGGCGCTTCCCAAAGCAGAAACGGCAAGGGAGAAGGCCATTATTTTAAGGCTGACCAGCTCAGAAAAGTTAGGCAGAAGCAGGAAAGTTTAACGACGTTGTCATCAAAAAAAAAAATCTAAATAAACAAGCAAACAAACAAGCAAATAAATAAAATGACACATTCCAGAATTATTTTTATTTTGCATGTATGTCTTTGAATTAATTGTTAAATGCATCACATAACAGTATGGATGTATTTTTAGCTAGAGGCAGCCAGAGAGTGTGGAGGGAATTTATTATTCAGGTTGTTTTATAACCTGTCTGCCGAACACAAGCCCACAGACATGCGGCATACAAACCAGCACAGCTTCA